AAATATGGATATTTTTCTTACAAAAACACATGGATTCACTACAGGAGGCCTTTATTCACCCCCCCGGAGCCGTGCGAGACACTTTTTATTATGGATGCGCGCAATTTATTTGACGACTTGTGGACTGCTCAACTGCAACACCCGCTGACTGCAATGATAGAGCTTGGAATAGCCAGGACAATTTTTAATATAACTACGACTGGATTCGTCTGAAAGAAGAAAGTCATATACACCTAGGATGCCTCGAGGGTGAGTAAAACACAAGCTAATTTTCATTTTTGGGTGAACTAACCCTTTAAGTTGTGACTTGTGTCTTGATAAAGTAGTGGTCAGTTAATTGTGTTGCAGTGAACAAGGAGAACAGTGAAGGGAGTGCTGAGGGATGACAAAAACAACATTAAATTACCATACTGTTTTCATCTTGTATAATGATGAGCTCAAGTGTTGAGGTTGTGGTGACTGAGCCTCATCGTTGAGTCTCTTCTCTAGTCCTGTGATGCAATCCACTCTTTCTGTTTGCCGCCCTTATTCCCAAAACATCACAACTGTGGAACAAGCAGGTCATTAGTTAACCACTTCACTGACTGTTTTAGTTCAGCACTTAGGCCTATTCAATAAACACAAGTTCCAGTCACTAGAATTCACTAAGGATGAACAAAAGGATAGAAAAAAGGGTTAAACAAAATTATAGCTTGTAATTTAAATATATAAATTAATTAATGTATAACCTTTTATGCAGTAATTGTCACATTAACTGCATATCCCTAGCAGGAACAGGTAAAAACACTTACTATTCCATACAATAATAAATACTGAGGGTTGAAACTGAAGTTTGAGGGTAAACAGTGTGCATAGTAAAGACAAGGTATGCATAAGCAAAGCAGTTTAGTGTCAAATGTCAAATGATATGATTACTAATCCACATATTAACTTAAAAGGAAACTTTTTTAAAGTTAAAAAGAAATAATAAATGTATGTTTGACAATACTTTAGCATCTGCTCTTCAATATTACCTAGTCTACCAAAAACACAAATCTTGATTGAATAATTAGAGGGATAGTGATTAAATGAATTATTAAAGGGACTAAAAAATAATACAATTCTGTCATAATTTTACTTTCTCTCATATCGTTCCAAACCTGTATGACCATCTTTCTTCAGTGGAACAACCGAACAAAAACATAGCCCACCGACTTTCATTGCGTAGAAAAAAAAAACACTGAGACATTTGTCAAAAGATCTGTTTATGAAATAATAGCAGACAGGTTTGGAATGACATGAAGGTGAAGAAATGATCACTGATCCTGCCAAGTCTCAAGAACATACATATTCCAAAATAACGTTTTGATCATAATTTTTCTGAACTTACATTGCATTTGGTACCTGTTTGAGAAGTAGGTAGTATTGTAACTGTATTGTAGCATTGTAATAATATTGTCATGTGCTTGTGTGTGTACGTATGTATTATATATATATATATATAGAGAGAGAGAGAGAGAGAGAGAGAGAGAGAGGGTTAGATTACTTACAAACTGTAATATGTTACAGACTCCAAATTACATGATAAAAATTGCAGTTAGTAATGTAATCAATTACATAACACATTTTAGGTAATATAATCTGACTATTTTTTGACTACTTTTAGATTACTTTTGACCTAACTTGTTTATCACATTGATTTAAATGGGATAATCTTGGACCATATTATTATAAAAATAGAAAGAGTAAGAAAATATATTTCATTTGTTATTATTAACAACATGAAGCGCATTAAACTGTCAAGGTTTACCAAACTGGGTTCCTGAAGGAACTGAAGAGGGTTTATGAGTTTAATGAAAAGCTAATAATTAATTAAATCAAAATGTAAAATTAAAAGAAATCATTTTAAAATAATATCAAAATAAAACACTTACTAAAATTTTTTTATATTTTATTTGTTTACCTGCATGCCATGTGATCATTAACAAACGTCAGAGAACCTTGAACTTGCAAATGTGTTACTTAACTATTAAAATACTTATTTTAAAATCTCAGGGGTACTTTAAGTAAATATATTTGGTGAAATAGGTTCAGACAGGGCCTGAATTTCGTTTTGGAAAATGGGGGGGTTCCTCCTTTAGGTGGCTCTTATGGGGGGATTTTTTAATTTGAGGGGGGGGGAGTTAGGGTATTTTAGACATATTTTTAAACTACAATCATCCAACCTAAATGTACTAGGTGTAACAATTTATAATGTTGTTGATTCATATTTATATTGTGAGGAAGATACTTAAAAAGAACTGATTTCAAACTCTGAATTGATTATATATATAATCTTATCAAATCTACTCGTTCACGACCACAGAATGATGTAATAATAACAGGTGTAACTCTGTGTATACACCAGTACTGAATAGCGTAAGCTTTAATTTCGCCTGCTGATTTATCAATCTCTCATTGAGCAATAGGACAAATCAACACAACAAACGTGTAGCAAAAAATACAATAAAAAAAGAATTAGAAGCATTATTCGCATTCATTAGCAACAACAACAACAACAACAAACAAACAAACAAATCGAACTCGAAAAGAAATCGAAACCCTTTCAGTTGTCACACATTGATGCTGTGTACGGTGAGAATATAATATTGCCGTTCTGTTGTCAGGGCCACACATTTACTAATAGTTACTCGCGAAAAAATTATTAACTTGCAAACTAACGTAACACATCATACCGCTGAGCTCACTAACAGCAAAGTCCCTTTAAGGGTAGTCAATAGTCTTGCTAACAGTCAGCACTGCGCTGAAAATCGGTATAATTTGTTTTCTAATATTTTGCTTGGAGACCAAACTTAGTGTAGAACAGAAGTATTGCAAGTTTTCTCGTCGTTTTAATGTGTTATAGCTAGCCGTGCGGTTAACCGACTCGACATTCAGCACTGCTGCACCGAGAAGAGATCAAACAGCAGTCTCGTATCTCAGACACACACTTCAGCGGAAAAACAAACCGTAACCGCAGTCAAACAGATCCCCAGCTAAATTCTCAACACACAAAAGAAGAAACCATATTAATTCTTCGGGAGTTACAGTCATTAATTACGTTGCTCAGCAGCCGCTTTATTAGAAATATAAGTTTCCAGACACTGGTGTGGTTTTGTGTACGTCGTCGACGTAAATAGCGGCTAACTGAGCTATGCTGCTATCTACGCACAAACCCGTCAAATACATCGTATTAAAAGGGAATTTTATTATCTTGTACTTCAGACACAGATGTAAATGATATAAACTGCACACTAACCTAAAATCGTTTGAGGGGAAACGTGCGGTGAGGCTGTGAAAGCCTCTCCTTTAGGCGTTGTTTCTAAAACACCGATGTTTTTGTGACATTTCCATGCCGGACGGCGCCCGAGTTTCACCATTGCGCTGACTGTTCAGACCTATCAATCGGTGCGAGCGTGTTCCCGGTCTGTCAAAGAACCAATCAGAGCCTCGCAAAGTATGAGAATGTACCGCCCCTCGGTAACATTTCAGCCAATAGAGAATGAGGAGTTACGTCACGATCTTTTCACTCCGCATTGCATTTCGGGAAGGCGCCGCCATATTAGCAGGATACGCTATCCGTTCCCATGGTTACTTCTCATTTTCTATAAGGATAAATGCTTATCTTTTGTTTTGTTTTTGCCTTTAAGTTAAACAACCATTCATTCTTCATTGTATCGTTTGCAGGGAAGAGAAGCTATTTTATCGCACTGCATGATATGCACTGCATTTCTCTCTTAGGTTTTCACACACACACACACACACAAACAAAACACCTTTGAGTAATAAAAAAAAAATCATTCATTTACTTGTGCAAACTGAAGTTTGATATTAAAGCACCGATAATGTCTTACCTGCATCTGTTGGCTGCTGAAGGGCCCATAGAGCTCAGAGTTTTCCTCATTGTCCCATTTGTATTCCCACATGACCACATCATTCACTAGAGAGAAACACAGATCATATGACTGCTATTACTAAGGGGTCAGCCATGAATCACATAATCATTAAAAACAACTGGCAATAAAATTTTCAGGACTCATTATTTGTGACAGTGACAAAAAGTTGCTACACTACAACAAATAAGAATTCATATTTAAATTGCATCTAATCATGCTACCTTTAAAAAAACACATCGTCGTCCCATCACTTACCTCTGCTGTTGTCTTTATCCTCATCTTTTTCTGCACCATGCTTCTCATCAAACTCCTCAGCGAACATGTCTAGATCATCTTTTTCCTCCTCTAGCGTTTTGGCTGCCTTTCCTCGAGTCAACCCCTTCAGCTTGTAGGCCAGTTTTTCATAAGTCTGCTGATAAATTTCAAATTCTCCAATCCCCACTAGTCTATCTGCCAATGCTGTCAGTTTGTCTAGTTTATCAGCGTCTCTGTTCGAAGTCTCTTTTTTCTCCTCCTCTCCTTCTCTCAGTCTCCCTTTCTTCTTGTGTCCTCCAAGACCGCCAAGTCTTCTCAGAGCAGCAGCCACTGTTTCTCCAGGCAGCATCAGCTCAATGACGGCTTCTGTGAGTTGATGATGGCTGTACGTAGCCAGAGGGTCTTCTGCAGGTCCTTTCTCCTCTTCTTCCTCCTCATCTTCCTCACTGTCTTTCCGCTGCTCCTCCCGTTTTATCTCCTCTTCTGCTTCGTCTTCATCACCAATTCTTCTCTTCCGCTTAGCTGCAAGGCCTTTCTTCTTTTTCACAGGCTGTTCTTTTATCTTCACCTGTGTGAAGAGATAGTGTGGTTGAGGAAAACATTTCTGAAATATTTGAACTTTAAGCTTAAACTTATCAACTATTTCTCAAAATTCATGCAATAAAATGTACCCAGTCAATATTGTCCAGCCAGTTGTCTCTGATATCTTTCTCTTTGTTGACAAAATAGTTTCCCTCTGAATCAAAGTGTCCCTCCTGCATTTCCTCAACGAGATTAAAAGGAGTGATGCATACACCCTCATCACAGTCAATGGTTGCCATTTCCTGGCCTGTAAACACAAAGAATGTGTAAGACAAATAATATTTTAAGTACTGTAAATCATAAATAAAACAAAAGCAATCTAGCATTTCAAAATACTGTGTCATTTCTCAGCCTTTTAAACAATCTAACAGCAGGCACTAAAGAGGTCTAGAGGAAGAGTGAAAGAACCATCCTGCAACGTGCATAACATTTATTTCATAATCTGCATGAGGCCAAATTATTATTCACACACATGGGCGTCACTACGCCATTTTTAGGGGGTGTGTGTTTATCGATAGTTTGTTATAATATCTGCATCTGTGCAGTTCTTTGTCATAAAACCAGTTTACAAAATATCATGGGGGGAGCAATAATCGGTTCCCCATCTACTGTAGCCTAACACTGCGTTCACCCCTCATCACACCACAGCTGTTTCCTCCAGCGAAAATAAAGCACATATGAACGCATAGGTCTACTTTATAAAATGATCAGGTTGCCATTTTCATTTGAAAATGTAACTTTCAATATAATACATATTCCAGTGCATGTGGCAAAGAGGTTTGCATACTTGAGCTAAGGAAATAGGGTTGTACTAGAAATGCAAACAGTAAAATTGTGTGTTTGTACAGTAAACAGGTTGTGTGTGTGAGAGATCATGAAGAATTGAATTTGGCTTATTCAGTACTCAAATGTTATACCCATCTATGCAATACAGTGGAATACTGCAATAAGTTTAGCATACGACCCCTATTAATCAAACATATATATATATATATATTTATATTATTAGGCTATTAATATACCCTCCTAAAATGAAAATCATAGAATCGCCCCTGTTCACACACCTTCCACATCATCATTTGCAAGGATGTCATATTTGCTGCTATTTTCTCCAACTTCTCCATCTTCCTCATCACTGTCCAAAGAGTGTTTCTCCTTAAATCTGGATCCTGGGCCATCAACAATCTGTAAAAAGACATTGGATAAAGCAGAACAGAGCATGAGAGAATTCACAGTACTGCAAAATCTACTACATCAGAATAACAATATGCATGGTAATAACAGGAGACTTTCACAACATCTATTTAAATATAAAGAGTTATAAGAAGCCGACCTTCTTCTTTGGAGCATCTTCCAAAGTGATCTCCCCATCTCCATCCTCAAACGTCACTTTCCTTTTCGACATGCTAAATGAGGCATAAGACATGTGTACGGTGCACTCATCGAGCATTCTGTGAAAGTTTTATGCTCTAAACATAATGCCGAGACTCCATAACAAATCGAATTAATGAAACCTGTACATATGGAGTGGTGTTGAATTTAAAGACAATTAGAGAGACTTAACAGAAACCAAATTTATAGCAGCTGACTAGAGGGCACATAACTGCATGCCCACATAGTAAACGCCATCTAAAATGAGATATTAAAGCATTAGGCCTATAATTAATACACATCTACAAAATCTCAACAATATATAATAATAGAATACAACCTAATTTTGGTATCACATTTAATAGTATTTACACCACTGCTGCGCAATGCGCCGAGCTAATGCTGCGAGCGTCCGTGCGGAGCGTGTGCCGTTATAACGTTAGCTAACGCAAGTTATTCAAAAGCCATATAAAATACACTTCAGCTCGACCGAGACAGACGCTTAACAGACTGGTCAGCTATAAACTAATAGTAATAAGGTAGAAACACATGGTAAAATATTTAGTTACCTGGATGTTATTCTCCCCGCTGCGCCATTCAAGCTAACTAAAAAAAACCGGAACAACGTCATTCGTGAGATTCTGGCCGAGTCGCCAGAGAGTCGCCACCTGGAGGTGAACCGGATTCTTCTTCTTCTTCTTCTTCTTCTTCTTCTTGTTTTATGGCGGGTGGCATCCAACGTTAAGGTGCATTACCGCCACCTACTATACTGGAGTGTGGACCAGAGTGACTAACAGAACTTTATATATAAAAATAATAATTTTTATAAAATAAAATAAAAAAATACTAAAAAAATAAACCCCATTATTAATAATAAAAATAACAATTATACTTTATATTCTATTTATCGGATTCTTCTTCTTCTTGCTATTTATTGGTGGTTGACAAACAACAAAATGGTGTATTTCCACCACCAACTGGTATGGAGTGTGGATCAACATGACTTACTGCTATTCCTTCAGTTATTTTGTAAAATACATCTCAGTGTAAATTGCATTTTTATTTTTTCTAAATTTTGCATTAGAATCCTTCAGTCTCGTATTTACTTTGAATTCTGTAAAACCACCGACCTTTTTTCTCCTTATCCCAATGTTTTTGCCACCTTTCCTTCAGTCTTTTCTTAATAATACTCTTGATTTCATTCTTACTTAGATTAACAGTTAAGTTAATGTCGTTGTTTTTAACTGCTTCTTTTGCTTCTTTATCTGCAGTTTCATTTCCTTGGATACCAATATGCGCCGGCACCCATACAAATACTAGCCTACTGTAATCCCCATCATTTGAATTCTATATAGCCTAACGTTTGCATTATTTCCATTAAAATGTCTGGTCTACTTTCCGAGTGACTGTATTGTAGACCAGCCAATGATGAACATGAATCTGTACAAATAACTGACTTCAAAGGTCTTATCTCTTCTATCCACTGTATTGCTAATAACAGTGCAATCATTTCCCCAGGTGAACCGGATTAATGACGCCCACTGCGATTAAAGCACTTCTGTGACCTCACGTCCATCACTTGATCTGCTGGAAAATGTTACAAAAACCTCCTGTTTTACGCTTCCAAATTATTGTTCTGTTATTATTGTTTATGTTACAGTTAACACTAGCTTGTATGCTTCCCGGGAACATCTCACTCTTTGGATAGAGAAAAAACTCTTTATTGTAAATATAGTGCGTCTCTATGAAAACTAAATACAAAAAGGTGCATTTGCGAAGCAGAACAGCAGAAACTGTGCAAAAACCACCACAATGCAAATGTACTGTTCTGATATAGCCTAGTTTCTAGTAAATATTTGATGAGAGCCTGAATTAGAAACCTGAATCAGTAATATGCAGAGTACGTTATCTGTTTTTATATATTTATAGTTTATACTTCCCTCATTTTTTGTCCATACATAAATTCATTAATCGGGGCTGTGAAAGCGCACATGTCGCTGCTGTTTCATCATGAAGTCTAAAGAGAATAGGGCATCGGCTTTTGTTACCGGGAAGTGAGTCGCGTTATTTATATTTCAACACTTGCAAGACCGGTGTAAGGGCGCGCGCTGGTAATACGAAACTTCTAATAGGCTATCATTCTGTTCTTTATGCGATTTGCCGGGATTGAGGAGCTTGGCCTGAAGTGATGTTTTGCCACTAAGGTTGTATGTAATCCACGATAAATCAACGGAAAGACATTGACAAAAGTAAGTTGTTGCACCTGACAAACACTGAGCCGTTCTGTCACTGTTCCGGTCACAATTCTTTGCCACTTTTGTTTATCCTTTTACAAAGCGCATATTGCTGCTTCAAGAAGGACACAATATTTACGTGGCACTATATTTGTGACTGACTAGCACGCTGACAGACACAGCGTGAACCGGATAGACAAGTTATTCACGTATGATTTCATACTCAAAAAAAAAAAAAAAAAGAATGACGATGGCAAATTTGATTTATCCATGGGTTTTAATTTCTGCTCATGTAAAGCTCGATCGCCCTGTGCTCGCGCTAGGACACGGCTGCACGCCAGGTGGCGTTGTAATGAAGATCCATGAAAAGATTCTAACCCACTACCTGTCCTGCACTTCACCTGTAGATAAAGAGGGATACCTCTACAAAAAGGTACCTGGATTTGTCAATTTACCCACATAATATTAAAAGTAATCTAGAATGCTAGTTTGGAAAAGCTGAATCATTCTAACCAGTTTAGAGAGTGTTGTGAGTGTCAGATTTGTTTACGATGCAAGTGCCTAGGAAAGTGAAGTACATTATATCTGAGACATCGTATCTTCTTCATGATGCATTACAGACTTTACCTTCAGGATCCTTGTATAGATCCCTTCATGCAAAAACAAATAGATTTATATTTTATTTTTTTGTTTCAATTTACCTGCTCAATTAAAATAGGAAAAGGTACATTTTTAGGTTATTGTACAACTTCAAATAAATGGTAAAAGTAAAGATAATAGTGGCAAGCAGGACTATATGATTCGGAAATTAAATAGTTATTTTAAATGATCTCTAATAATCATCTGTTCAATTACCAATATTTCAGAACAAACTAAAAATAAACCACCCTCCTATCTGTAAATTTTACCACGGGAGAAACAGGGTTGTTAAACTTATTTGATAGACACTTATTAAAAGCAGCCTTTGAGCCATTTCTTTATTAGTGACATTAATTCAGGTTCAGAATATATCAGTCTTCTGTGCATTACAAAAAATGTTTTCACATCTCCAGTGTTTCTCTGTCCTGTACATTCTAGAACAATTTTCTCCCTCTTTAAATGAGTCGTAATTGCAATGACTTCCTTATCCTACCTGTGTTTGAACTATTACCATATTTATTTTCTGCAGAGAGAGAGGAACACCACTTACCTGCGCCGCTGGTTTGTGTTGAAGGGGAATCTGCTGTTTTATCAGGAGCATCCAGGCGATCGTAACCTGTTGGGTGTGATTGTTCTGGAGGGCTGCCTGGTGCAGGCGTGTGAGACAGATGGTCAATTCTGTTTCTCTTTGGTGTTCACTGGACCAGGCCTCCGCACATATAGACTAGCCGCTGATGACCATCTCAGCCAGGAGAGCTGGATCGGTGCACTGTTCTGCACTATTTATTTATTTATTTAGTCATTTATCAGACGCTTTTATCCAAAGCGACTTACAAATGAGGACAATAAAAGCAGTCAAAACTAACAAAAGAGCAACAATATATAAGTGCAAATGACAAGTCTCGGTTAGCCTAACGCAGTACACGTAGCTAGCTGTATATATATATATATATATATATAATACACACACACACACATATATATATATATATGTATCACTAGTCACATTTACCTTTCCATGATTGTCAGAGACATGGAGAGACGCTACGAAGGTGAGTTTATGTATATGTGTTTTCTGTGTCTACTGGCTTGAACACAATTAACATGTCTGATTGAATTTTTACATGCTCTTAACAAAACAGAAGCTGGAAGAGACAAAGGCCTTTGTGATTCCATCCAGACCTCTGCAGTGACTTCTACACCCAATAAGATAATGGCTTCCTGGAACACAGGACAACCCTATTTTGTACATGGGACTTCCATAGTGCCTAGAGATGGGCGGAGCTACAGCACCAGTTCTGTACCACCTCCATCTATGCTGAACAGACCCATCAGCTATAGTCTTCATGCCCCTCCTATTCAATTCAAGACTACCTATAAGCGATCTCCAAAGCTCTGGCCCAAGAGAAATGCCCATGTCACACCCTTAAATGGTCCGGCACCATCTTTTGGGGAGTGGCCTGTTGTGGGCTTTGATCCTTTGGAAGAGTTTAGTAAACTGCATGAGTACTATGGAAATTAGATTAAGCAACTAAGAGCTGATTGGCTGAGGAAGAAGCGTGAGGAAGTGGGATACGTTGAGGAAGACCTCATTGACCTTGGCTAGAGTAGCATCTGAACCTATCACATATGCATTTGTTCATGTTGTCGTCTAAATAGTAAATCTTGTTCTAAACAATAGACTGATGAATGTATTAAGGATGCAGTAAATGTAATACTGCAGTAGTAGAATCCTGCTGTCTTTTTAATTTTATGAAGGTAGGGTTGGGCGATGTCTACCAAATTGGCATTGGACGATGTCTACAGTGAAACATCGTGATGGACGATGACATCGGGGGGAATCCATATGCAGAAAGGCACGGAAAACAAATAATGCATTCTACGTTGTTCTTGTCTGACAGGACAATGGCGAATGATTTGCAGATACTGAGCACCACTGACAAATATCTAATCTTGAAAAATATGTCTGCCAGCCATCGGCGATGGACGATGACATCGTCTATCGGCCCAACCAAGGTATGCAGATTAGCACTGACTGACACCGATCTTGTGCGTTTCTCATTTCCTCTCTGTGGTCTCTCAGCCTAGTTCCTTCTCGCTTGAATTGTCATAAAACAGACCCAAAACACCAGTAGCTTTACCCCCATCATTTAACCTAACTGTGTGCAGACATTTACAATGGCAAAATTTCTTATTGGATCCAAAGTATTTCATATACGTTCAAATGACGTTTGATTAGAGATTACATATTAGTTGTAGAGCTGTGAATGCTCGATAATAATTAATATTTAATTTATTGTTAGATCTTTTAAAATGTACTGAGGGAGCCTAATCACTAATGTGATCTCGTGAAGAGGGCAACACAAGTGACTGTTTAGTTCTAACTTACAGAACTTAATTCACACAGTTCAGGAGACTTCGTAAACAAACTTAAATACAAGCCCTTTCTATTCTTCCTCTTTCACAACGTCTCAATTCTTTGGGGATGTAGATGTGCCTTTTTTCTTTTAGTTTCTAGTTCACTCAACACATTTGGAACATTTAACACATTATTTAAAAAGCAACAGTTTTATATTGCAGTCATATCAGTAAACATCAAAATAAACTGTAATGTTTGTGTGCATTAAGCATTTCAGTAATGCAGCTCTATACTGTAGGTCACCAGAGGGCACTGCATTTCACCAACAGTATTACTACCTTTATTCAGGCATGCTTCATTCACAGGGTCACTAGTTGCTTTACAACTGATATTTTATTACATAATGTCATATGTGTAATTATATATGGATGATATCAGTAATGTTGAATGTGTTTTATTGTATAAAT